GAATTGTTACTGAGGGACACAGAATTGTTACTCAGGGACAGACACAGAATTGTTACTGAGGGACACAGAATTGTTACTGAGGGACACAGAATTGTTACTCAGGGACACAGAATTGTTACTCAGGGACACAGAATTGTTACTCAGGGACAGACACAGAATTGTTACTGAGGGACAAGAATTGTTACTGAGGGACACAGAATTGTTACTCAGGGACAGACACAGAATTGTTACTGAGGGACACAGAATTGTTACTGAGGGACACAGAATTGTTACTCAGGGACACAGAATTGTTACTCAGGGACAGACACAGAATTGTTACTGAGGGACACAGAATTGTTACTGAGGGACACAGAATTGTTACTGAGGGACACAGAATTGTTACTCAGGGACACAGAATTGTTACTCAGGACAAGACGCAGAATTGTTACTGAGGGACACAGAATTGTTACTCAGGGACAGACACAGAATTGTTACTGGGGACACAGAAATTGTTACTGAGGGACACAGAATTGTTACTGAGGGACACACAATTGTTACTCAGGGACACAGAATCGTTACTCAGGGGGACACATAATTGTTACTCAAGGACAGACACAGAATTGTTACTGAGGGACACAGAATTGTTACTCAGGGGACACAGAATCGTTGAATTAAAGAGTATGTCAGACAACATGCAGAGGAGTGGCAGAGAGGAGGCAATGTTTTTAGGAGCGAGCAGACGTGGCAGCAGAGGAAGGGGTCGAGGGCAGCACTAGTCGCAGCCAGAGGCCAGTGCTCCCCGGTGTCATCCAGCGGTCGTGTCTCCACCGACAACCCTGCCATCATCGATTGGTTGGCTCGGTCGTCTTCCTCCTTCCCAGGTCACCTCTGAACACCTACAGCCAACGGTCGGTGGGTACGTCAGACACAACCGTTAGTTGGCATGGCCCGGGAGCAAGCCCACTGAAATCACGTGTCCTCTACCTGCCCCTGTCCTTTGGTGTTCCCTCACCAAGCGAAGTATCGCATGCTGTGGGCTCAGCCCCACTGTACAGTGAGGAAGAGCTAACAGAGGGCGGTCAGGAACGGGGGGGGGGAGACATCCGCCTCTTCAGCAGCCAGGCGAAGAAGTACTGGCGAGGAGAGTGGCTCGGTAGCCGGTCTAGAGACAGGTCTGTCTCCTGACCCACACGCAGCCGAGGGGGCTAGTAGTGAGACGGAGACCTAATTGATGATGAAGAGGCTGATTGCACTTGGCAGCCTCGTCGTCATCAGGCTATTGCTTCCGCATCATCAGGAGAAGAGGGGTGCCAGCTTGGTAGCGAGCAAAACAGTCGGTGGGTTGCCCAGGAGGCAGCAGGGTCGCAGCAGTGTCAGTGGAGGCAAACGGCCATGGAGTAGAGCACCAGCTCCACTGCAGCCTACCCACCACGGCCAGTAGTGGTGCCGGTGTGCACGGAGGAAGTAGCAGTCAGCCAGTGAGGAGTAGCGGGGGCAAAGTTTCTACTCGGCGGTGTGGCAATTTTTCGTCAAGCCGCCCGAGGAAGTAAACGTAGCCGTATGTCGACTATGTGGCCAGAAAGTCAAGCGTGGCCAGGGGGCCCATGTTGGGACTACAGCGTTGCGGCAGCATATGCAGCGTCGCCATTTGGTGGCCTGGGAAAACCGTGATAAAGATACGGCGGTTCTGCCTGCCCCAGCCCCCGCTCCATCACCCGCTCCGTTACTTGCTCCGTCACCCGACGTCAATCGCCCTCTATCAGCCAGTCAAGGCTCCAACACCTCTGCTGAGGGGAGTTGTCGCTCGTTGGCATCTTCCGCTCGTTCAGATGCTCCTTCTCCTGCTACTCCTCTTCACGTATTCCGTCAGCAGTCTTTCTTGGAATCCGTTTCCAGAGACAACAGTTTGCGAGCACGCACCCGACGGTGCAGAAGCTGATCGTCCTCCTGTCCAGTTGCTGGGTGCTGCAGTCCCTCCCTTTCCAAGTGGTGGACTCAGCACCTTTCCGAGAAATGATGGCTTGTGCCGCGCCGCGGTGGAGAGTGCCAAGCCGGCATTTCTTCGCCAAAAAGGCAGTGCCAGCCCTGCATTCACATGTAGAAGAGATGGTGGGCCAGTCTTTGAGCATGTCGGTCTCTGCCAAAGTGCACGGCAGCGCCGACGTGTAGAGCTGTAACTACGGTCAGGGACAGTACATGTCATTTACGGCCCACTGGTGTGAACGTGGTGCCGGCACAGCCGCACCAGCAACTTGGACAGGTCACGCCGCTTTTGCCTCCACGTTTGCACGTCCTTGGTCCGCAAAGATGTCCGCCTCTACCACCTCTTCTTCCGCCGTGTCCTCAGCCGCCACCCCGTGCCAAGTCCCATTACCCGACCGGCATATCACATGTGCAGGGCGCAACGGTGTCACGCTGTGCTGCACCTGGTATGCCTTGGCGAACGTAGTCACACAGGGGAGGAACTTCTGAGTGTAATGAACAGAGAAATCGACAGATGGCTGTCTCCGCGCAAACTGAAAATCGGAACCATGTTGACCGACAACGGAAAGAACATGGTGTCTGCTCTGCGTCAAGGAAAGGTTGTGCCATGCGCCATGCATGGCTCACGTGTTCAATCTGGTTGTCAAGCGGTTCCTAAAATCCACCATCCCACTGCAAGACATCCTTAAAATGTCACGTAAACTTTGCATGCATTTCAGCCATTCCTACACCGCAAAGCACACCCTCCTTGAGCTGCAGCGGCAGAACGGAATTCCACAGCATCGCCTGATCTGCGACGTTGCAACAAGGTGGAATTCAAACCTACACATGTTAGACCGCCTTTACGAACAGCGAAAGGCCATCACCGATTTCCTGATGTTACAAGCGGATAAAGGTACTCCCCTGTGTAACTTCGATGTCAGCCATTGGCAGCTCATGCGTGACACCTGCCGCTTGCTCAGGCCCTTTGAGGAGGCCACGCTATTCGTGAGTCGGCAGGACTATGCGATGAACGACGTCATTCCTCTGTTGCACGTCCTGGAACAAATGCTGTTAACAATGGCTGGTCAGGGTGCGGTAGACGTGGCGCACAGATCTCAACGCCACATGACCCCTGTGGGGGCAGGACAGGAAGAAGAGGAGGAGGTAGAGGAGGACATTGGTGCTCAGGAATTATTGAGTGAAATGGGTGGTTTTTCCACTCAGCGGACAGGAGTGGAGGAGCAGGAGCATCTGGTAGAGGAGGAGGAGGAGACAGAGGACCCAGACGCACCGTGGCAGTATGCTGTGGAGATGGAGGCAGGGAGTCCCTCGCATTCCTTGGCACAAATGGCCCATAGCATGCTCGGTTGCTTGCGTAGCGACAGCCGAATAATAACCATCAGACAGAGGGATGACTTTTGGCTGTCCACCTTGTTGGACCTCGCTACCGTTCAAAAATGGTGGGCCTTTTTCACACCTGCTGAGAGGGAGGCCAAAATAACGTACTATAAAAACCACCTATGTAGTCAGTTGGTCTCTGCCTTTCTGCGCCAACGTCCATCCTCAGACACTGTGGGCCCTGTGCGCTCACGTTCCGCTGCCATGGCAGCAGGGGAGGGGTGGGGTGGTAGGAGCAGTGGCAGCTCCACCAGCAGCGGCTGCCACAGTCTGCAGTCGATGATGAGTAGCTTTCTTCACCAGCGCAGTGAGGAAACTACTAACCAGCCGCAGCAGCAGCAGCATCAGGTGGACCTGGAGCAGGACCTCAAACAACAGGCTCGGGCCTACTTGGACAGCACCCTGCCAACCGAGGTAGACAATCCCCTTGACTACTGGGCAACGAAACTTGACCTTTGGCCCCAACTAGCTGAATTTGCCCTTGAAAGACTGTCATGCCCGGCCAGTAGCGTGGCATCGGAGCGCGTGTTTAGTGCGGCAGGAGGTATTGTAACTCCGCGGAGGACACGACTGTCCACCCAAAGTGTGGAGAGACTCATGTTTGTGAAAATGAATCAGGCATGGCTTAGTCTGGATTTCAAACCACCAGTTCCTGACACAACTGACTAAATCCGCCATGAATCATGCCCCAAACATGTGCCACTTTCAGGTCTCCTCACACTGCTGGTGGGTTCCATTTTGTCATAGGGTGCTGGCAGATTACGGGCCTCCCATTGCTGCTGCCAGGCCCGTAATCTGCCATGGGCCCCCGTACCGCCTCCTCATGCTGCTGCCAGGTCCAGAGTCTCTCATGGGTCCCTGTTACAGCCTCCCATTGCTGCTGTCTCCATCGCCACACTCTGCCATGTGCCACTTTCAGGTCTCCTCACACTGCTGGTGTGTTCCTTTTTGTCATAGGATGCTGGCAGATTACGGGCCTCCCATTGCTGCTGCCAGGCCTGTAATCTGCCATGGGCCCCTGTACCGCCTCCTCATGCTGCTTCCAGGTACAGAGTGTCTAATGGGTCCCTGTACGGCCTCCCATTGCTGCTGTCTCCATCGCCACACTCTGCCATGTGCCACTTTCAGGTCTCCTCACACTGCTGGTGTGTTCCATTTTGTCATAGGGTGCTGGCAGATTACGGGCCTCCCATTGCTGCTGCCAGGCCTGTAATCTGCCATGGGCCCCCGTACCGCTCCTCATGCTGCTGCCAGGTCCAGAGTCTCTCATGGGTCCCTGTACGGCCTCCCATTGCTGCTGTCTCTATCGCCACACTCTGCCATGTGCCACTTTCAGGTCTCCTCACACTGCTGGTGTGTTCCATTTTGTCATAGGGTGCTGGCAGATTACGGGCCTCATTGCTGCTGCCAGGCCTGTAATCTGCCATGGGCCCCCGTACCGCCTCCTCATGCTGCTGCCAGGTCCAGAGAGTCTCTCATGGGTCCCTGTACGGCCTCCCATTGCTGCTGTCTCCATCGCCACACTCTGCCATGTGCCACTTTCAGGTCTGCTCACACTGCTGGTGTGTTCCATTTTGTCATAGGGTGCTGGCAGATTACGGGCCTCCCCATTGCTGCTGCCAGGCCTGTAATCTGCCATGGGCCCCCGTACCGCCTCCTCATGCTGCTGCCAGGTCCAGAGTCTCTCATGGGTCCCTGTACGGCCTCCCATTGCTGCTGTCTCCATCGCCACACTCTGCCATGTGCCACTTTCAGGTCTCCTCACACTGCTGGTGTGTTCCATTTTGTCATAGGATGCTGGCAGATTACGGGCCTCCCATTGCTGCTGCCAGGCCTGTAATCTGCCATGGGCCCCTGTACCGCCTCCTCATGCTGCTGCCAGGTACAGAGTGTCTAATGCAGCGGTTCTCAACCTGGGGGTCGCGACCCCTTTGGGGGTCGAACGACGCTTCCACAGGGGTCGCCTAAGACCATCGGAAAACACATATTTCCGATGGTCTTAGGAACGCGACACCGCTCCTCGCCGCCGCCGCCACCGCCGTCTCCAGGTGTGGGCGGGATGACATGCCGCCCCTGTCATCTGGACACACCTCGAGATCAATCCTCGCCTGTGATTGGCCGCCGGCACTGTAGTTCAGGAGAGGCACACAGGCGGCCAATCACCGGCAAGGAGGTGGAGCTTGGAGAGGAGGAGCCGAGCGGCACCGCGAAGATCGAGCGAGTGAAGAGGAGGAGAGAGCGGCCGGAGAAGGAAGACATCTGACAGGTAAGTGTCGGTACCATGGGAGAGGGAGGGAGCGAGCGAGCCCAGGCTGGAGCAGGGGTCTGCAAGGTAAGTATCATTGGTGTCAGTGGGAATAGTGCCCCATCATTGGTGTCACTAATACCAATGATGGGGCACTATTCCTCCCACTGACACCAACGATGGGACACTATTCCTCCCACTGACACCAATGATGGGGCACTATTCCTCCCACTGACACCAACAATGGGGCACTATTCCTCCCCCAAATGACACCAACGATGGGGCACTATTCCTCCCCCACTGACACCAAGGATGGGGCACGATTCCTCCCCCCACTGACACCAACGATGGGGCACAATTCCTCCCCCCACTGACACCAAGGATGGGGCACTATTCCTCCCCCACTGACACCAAGGATGGGGCACTATTCCTCCCCCCACTGACACCAAGGATGGGGCACTATTCCTCCCCCCACTGACACCAAGGATGGGGCACTATTCCTCCCCCCACTGACACCAAGGATGGGGCACTATTCCTCCCCCCACTGACACCTATGATGGGGCACTATTCCCCCCACTGACACCTATGATGGGGCACTATTCCCCCCACTGACACCAATGATGGGGCACTATTCCCCCCACTGACACCTATGATGGGGCACTATTCCTCCCCCCACTGACACCAATGATGGGGCACTATTCCTCCTCCCACTGACACCAATGATGGGGCACTATTCCTCCCACTGACAGCAATGATAGGGCACTATTCCTCCCACTGATACCAATGATGGGGCACTATTCCTCCCACTGATACCAATGATGAGGCACTATTCCTCCCACTGACACCGATGATGGGGCACTATTTCCTCCCACTGACACCGATGATGGGGCACTATTCCTCCCACTGATACCGATGATGGGGCACTATTCCTCCCACTTATACCGATGATGGGGCACTATTCCTCCCACTGACACCGATGATGGGGCACTATTCCTCCCACTGACACCGATGATGGGGCACTATTCCTCCCACTGATACCGATGACGGGGCACTATTCCTCACACTGATACCGATGACGAGGCACTATTCCTCCCACTGACACCGATGACGAGGCACTATTCCTCCCACTGACACCGATGACGGGGCACTATTCCTCCCACTGATACCAATGACGGGGCACTATTCCTCCCCACTGACACCAATGATCAGGCACTATTCCTCCCACTGATACCAATGATGGGACACTATTCCTCCCACTGATACCAATGATGGGGCACTATTCCCCCCCACTGACACCAATGATGGGGCACTATTCCTCCCACTGATACCAATGATGAGGCACTATTCCTCCCACTGATACCAATGATGGGGCACTATTCCTCCCACTGACACCAATGATGGGACACTATTCCTCACACTGACACCAATGATGGGGCACTATTCCTCCCACTGATACCAATGACGGGGCACTATTCCTCCCACTGACACCAATGACGAGGCACTATTCCTCCCACTGACACCAATGACGGGGCACTATTCCTCCCACTGACACCAATGACGGGGCACTATTCCTCCCACTGACACCAATGACGGGGCACTATTCCTCCCACTGACACCAATGACGGGGCACTATTCCTCCCACTGACACCAATGACGGGGCACTATTCCTCCCACTGACAGCAATGACGGGGCACTATTCCTCCCACTGACACCAATGAAGGGGGCACTATTCCTCCCACTGACACCAATGACGGGGCACTATTTCTCCCACTGATACCAATGATGGGGCACTATTCCTCCCAATGACACCAATGATGTGGCACCATTCCTCCTACTGCAAAATTACAGTTATGAAGTAGCAACGAAAATAATTTTATGGTTGGGGGTCACCACAACATGAGGAACTGTATTAAGGGGTCGCGGCGCTAGAAAGGTTGAGAACCACTGGTCTAATGGGTCCCTGTACGGCCTCCCATTGCTGCTGTCTCCATCGCCACACTCTGCCATGTGCCACTTTCAGGTCTCCTCACACTGCTGGTGTGTTCCATTTTGTCATAGGGTGCTGGCAGATTACGGGCCTCCCATTGCTGCTGCCAGGCCTGTAATCTGCCATGGGCCCCCGTACCGCCTCCTCATACTGCTGCCAGGTCCAGAGTCTCTCATGGGTCCCCTGTACGGCCTCCCATTGCTGCTGTCTCCATCGCCACACTCTGCCATGTGCCACTTTCAGGTCTCCTCACACTGCTGGTGTGTTCCATTTTGTCATAGGATGCTGGCAGATTACGGGCCTCCCATTGCTGCTGCCAGGCCTGTAATCTGCCATGGGCCCCTGTACCGCCTCCTCATGCTGCTGCCAGGTCCAGAGTCTCTCATGGGTCCCTGTATGGCCTCCCATTGCTGCTGTCTCCATCGCCACACTCTGCCATGTGCCACTTTCAGGTCTCACACTGCTGGTGTGTTCCATTTTGTTATAGGGTGCTGGCAGATTACGGGCCTCCCATTGCTGCTGCCATGCCCGTAATCTGCCATGGGCCCCCGTACCGCCTCCTCATGCTGCTGCCAGGTCCAGAGTCTCTCATGGGTCCCTGTACGGCCTCCCATTGCTGCTGTCTCCATCGCCACACTCTGCCATGTGCCACTTTCAGGTCTCCTCACACTGCTGGTGTGTTCCATTTTTGTCATAGGGTGCTGGCAGATTACGGGCCTCCCATTGCTGCTGCCAGGCCCGTAATCTGCCATGGGCCCCCGTACCGACTCCTCATGCTGTGACGTTGCAACAAGGTGGAATTCAACCCTACATATGTTAGACCCGCCTTTACGAAAGCGAAAGGCCATCACCGATTTCCTGATGTTACAAGCGGATAAAGGTACTCCCCTGTGTAACTTAGATGTCAGCCATTGGCAGCTCATGCGTGACACCTGCCGCTTGCTCAGGCCCTTTGAGGAGGCCACGCTATTCATGAGTCGGCAGGACTATGGGATGAACGACGTCATTCTTCTGTTGCACGTCCTGGAACAAATGCTGTTAACAATGGCTGGTCAGGGTGCGGTAGACGTGGCGCACAGATCTCAACGCCACATGACCCCTGTGGGGGCAGGACAGGAAGAAGAGGAGGAGGTAGAGGAGGACATTGGTGCTCAGGAATTATTGAGTGAAATGGGTGGTTTTTCCACTCAGCGGACAGGAGTGGAGGAGCAGGAGCATCTGGTAGAGGAGGAGGAGGAGACAGAGGACCCAGACGCACCGTGGCAGTATGCTGTGGAGATGGAGGCAGGGAGTCCCTCGCATTCCTTGGCACAAATGGCCCATAGCATGCTCGGTTGCTTGCGTAGCGACAGCCGAATAATAACCATCAGACAGAGGGATGACTTTTGGCTGTCCACCTTGTTGGACCCTCGCTACCGTTCAAAAATGGTGGCCTTTTTCACACCTGCTGAGAGGGAGGCCAAATAACGTACTATAAAAACCACCTATGTAGTCAGTTGGTCTCTGCCTTTCTGCGCCAACGTCCATCCTCAGACACTGTGGGCCCTGTGCACTCGCGTTCCGCTGCCATGGCAGCAGGGGAGGGGTGGGGTGGTAGGAGCAGTGGCAGCTCCACCAGCAGCAGCTGCCACAGTCTGCAGTCGATGATGAGTAGCTTTCTTCACCAGCACAGTGAGGAAACTACTAACCAGCCGCAGCAGCAGCAGCATTAGGTGGACCTGGAGCAGGACGTCAAACAACAGGCTCGGGCCTACTTGGACAGCACCCTACCAACCGAGGTAGACAATCCCCTTGACTACTGGGCAACGAAACTTGACCTTTGGCCCCAACTAGCTGAATTTGCCCTTGAAAGGCTGTCATGCCCGGCCAGTAGCGTGGCATCGGAGCGCGTGTTTAGTGCGGCAGGAGGTATTGTAACTCCGCGGAGGACACGACTGTCCACCCAAAGTGTGGAGAGACTCACGTTTGTGAAAATGAATCAGGCGTGGATTAGTCTGGATTTCAAACCACCAGTTCCTGACACAACTGACTAAATCCGCCATGAATCATGCCCCAAACATGTTATTATTTTTAACATAGGCCTCTGTATGGCCTTCAATTTAAGCTGCTTACGCTTCGCCACTCTGCCATGGGCCCCTGTACCGCCTCCTCTTGCTGCTGCCAGGTCCAGAGTGTGTCATGGGTCCCTGTACGGCCTCCCATTGCTGCTGACTTCATCGCCAGACTCTGCCATGTGCCACTTTCAGGTCTCCTTACACTGTTGGTGGGTTCCATTTTGTCATAGGGTGCTGGCAGATTACGAGCCTCCCATTGCTGCTGCCAGGCCCGTAATCTGCCATGGGCCCCCGTACCGCCTCCTCATGCTGCTGCCAGGTCCAGAGTGTGTCATGGGTCCCTGTACGGCCTCCCATTGCTGCTGTCTCCATCGCCACACTCTGCCATGTGCCACTTTCAGGTCTCCTCACACTGCTGGTGGGTTCCATTTTGTCATAGGGTGCTGGCAGATTACGGGCCTCCCATTGCTGCTGCCAGGCCGTAATCTGCCATGGGCCCCCGTACCGCCTCCTCATGCTGCTGCCAGGTCCAGAGTGTGTCATGGGTCCCTGTACGGCCTCCCATTGCTGCTGTCTCCATCGCCACACTCTGCCATGTGCCACTTTCAGGTCTCCTCACACTGCTGGTGGGTTCCATTTTGTCATAGGGTGCTGGCAGATTACGGGCCTCCCATTGCTGCTGCCAGGCCCATAATCTGCCATGGGCCCCCGTACCGCCTCCTCATGCTGCTGCCAGGTCCAGAGTGTCTCATGGGTCCCTGTACGGCCTCCCATTGCTGCTGTCTCCATCGCCACACTCTGCCATGTGCCACTTTCAGGTCTCCTCACACTGCTGGTGGGTTCCATTTTGTCATAGGGTGCTGGCAGATTACGGGCCTCCCATTGCTGCTGCCAGGCCGTAATCTGCCATGGGCCCCCGTACCGCCTCCTCATGCTGCTGCCAGGTCCAGAGTGTGTCATGGGTCCCTGTACGGCCTCCCATTGCTGCTGTCTCTATCGCCACACTCTGCCATGTGCCACTTTCAGGTCTCCTCACACTGCTGGTGGGTTCCATTTTGTCATAGGGTGCTGGCAGATTACAGGCCTCCCATTGCTGCTGCCAGGCCCGTAATCTGCCATGGGCCCCCGTACCGCCTCCTCATGCTGCTGCCAGGTCCAGAGTGTGTCATGGGTCCCTGTACGGCCTCCCATTGCTGCTGTCTCCATCGCCACACTCTGCCATGTGCCACTTTCAGGTCTCCTCACACTGCTGGTGGGTTCCATTTTTGTCATAGGGTGCTGTATGGCCTCCCATTGCTGCTGCCTCCACCGCCACACTGTGGCTCCACACTCTGGTTTTGGCCCCGTGACTGCCCAAATGAGTGAAGTGTGCGGTGATTCTAGGATCGACGGCACTCATCTGCATGTCATACTGACTGACAGTATTATTTCTCTTCCCCAGCAGACTCCAAGGGCATTTAAATTAAAGGTACAGTGTTCTGCACTAATATAAAGGCTCTCTGAAGCCTAGAAACCCTTTTTATAAGTTAAATTCGCAGCGAATATATTCGCATCGAATCGAATTTATTCCTCGAATTCGCCGAATCGAATTTTTGAATACTTCGCTCATCTCTAATCAGGATCTTTTCAGAGCCTGCATTGGCTCTGTGACATCAGCTGAGAGCAGGCTTTAGCGGGTCACAGGAGTGCAGAACGAACTGCACTCCTGTGACCTACAAGAGAAGTATAGCCAAAAAAACTGGCTACACAAACGGAGTTGCAAATGGAGCTGTGCTTGTGTAGTTCCCTGTACATTTCAAAGAAGACTGGGAGCAGGAACGTAGGTTTCATTTATTTCAGAACATACATTGCATGTCTCCTCTACAATAAATAGCCTTCCTGCTTGACGTCTTTAAATTTGACACTAAAGTTTATTGGGCTATAGTCTCTGAGCAGACTGTGGACCAGTTTGTGACAGTCCTCATGGGACATCCTCTCTCTATGGTGGATGAGGCACTTTCCGGTGCATTAGAAAGATTCCTTAAAGTAACACATCATCCACCAGATGCCACCAATGTTCTCTTATGCAAAAGCACCACAAAATAGTCCATGCAAGACTCCAAAGTGGGTGATAGCTGATTGCAATATAAAGTCTTTGAGTTCATGTTCCAGGGCCTTCAAATGGTCCTGTGCACTGCCAGAAGAGGTGCAAAGCAGTTTTTTCCCTGAAAGATCCAAAAAGGGCAGTGCCTGTTTCTGCAGGTTTCTGGCATCCATAAAAGTCCTCAAAGGCAACCGTCCTTGGTTGTCATCCGTGCCTTTTGGACTGACTACCTTGTGACTGCTTTAGACTGATTGTGTATCAGGATCCTGTGAGTAGAGCCTCCTTTTTGTGCTAAAGTTAATTTATGGTCCCCAGTAGTGATGGACCGAACACCCCTGTATTCTGTTCACGGTCAAACATTTGAACCTAATGAATGTTCGACCATGAACTTCGAACTCAATGCAAGTCTATAAGACTCGAACTTGTAAATTCATATGTGCCCATTTTGAAGGCTTATATGCAAGTTATTGCCCATAAAAGGGGTATGAGGACTCAGGTACTGCCCTGAGGGACATGAATAAAAAAAAAATGAAAACATTTTTTTTTAAAAAAGTACCATTTTTTAAAGGGGCAGTCATTTTTCATTGCTTAACCACTAGCCTACAGGGCACTTATACCTCCTTCCTGCTCAGGCCAATTTCCAGCTTTCAGCGCTGTCACAATTTGAATGACAATTGCGCAGTCATGCAACACTGTAACCATATGAAATTTTTATCTTTTTTTTGTGACAGATAGAGCTTTATTTTGGTGGTATTTAATCACCTCTGGGTTTTTTATTTTTTCTTAAACAAACCAAAAACTACTGAAAATTTTGAAAAAAAAGTTTTTTTCTTAGTTTTTGTTTTTAAAATTTTGTAAATAAGTGATTTTTCTCCTTCACTGATGTGTGCTAATGAGGCTGCAGTGATGGGCACTGATAGGCTGCACTGATGGACACTGATATGTGGCACTGATGGGCACTGATGAGGAGGCCCTGGTAGGTGGTACTGATGGGCATTGACAGGCATCACTGATGGGCACTGAAAGGCAGCACTGATATATGGCACTGATAGGCGGCACTGACTGGCACTGATAGGCGGCAGTGATGCACACTGATAGGCGGCACTGATTGGCAGCACTGATAGGTGGCACTGATTGGCATTGATGGGTGACACTGAAAGGCAGCTCAGATGGGCACTGATATGTGGCATTGATGTGCACTGGTAGGCACTGATATGTGGCATTGATGTGGCACTGATGGGCACTGTGCAGGTGGCATGGATGAGCACTGAGAGCTGGCACTGATGGACACTGACAGGTGGCACTGCTGGGGCTACACTGATCATCAGGGCACACTGATCATCAGTGCCCTGATGATCAATGCACATGTCCCCTCCGAGGAATGACGATTACCGGCTCTCCTCTCCTCACGAGCTGTCAGCGTGACAGCTGGAGAGGAGAGAAATGCCGATAACCGGCATTTCCCTATTTACATGTGATCAGCTGTGATTGGACACAGCTGATCACATGACCGAGCCGACATCTTCGGCTCTTTCCATGGATTGGTGATCCGCTGTGTCCGAGGGAAACAGCGCACCGACGATCGCCACGCTGTGTGCTCCCGGAGCAGCGCATGCGCGGTGAGAATGGGAGGACATCATATGACGTCCTCCCAGAACTAGAGAACCGCCATGCGTCCGTCATTGGACTATATGGCGGGCAGGAGGCGGTTAAAGTGAAAAAAAAAACAAAAAACTTTTTTTATATATCATGCCTGGGGAAGGGGGTTCCCTAAACTACCTGCAAAGTTGCACATCTGTACAATGTATAAAACCTGCTGCTGCAGTACTGACATTTAAAAAAAAACTGTGTGGGGTTCCCTCTAAAAGCCCTACTAAGCACTTCATGGTCTGGTAGGACTTTTAGGGGAACCCGACCCCCCAAATATGGGGGGGAATGTGTGGGGTTACCCCTAAATTCCTACTAGACCCTTGATCCAAGTACAGGCCTGGCAGGGTAGTAAAGGGGGGACGAACAAGCACTCCCGCCCACCCCTCTGGGTTTACTAGGCCATGTGCCCTCAAGATTGTGACGGTGTCTCCATGCCGATGGGGACAAAGGCCTCTTCCCCACAACCCTGGCCCGGTGGTTGTGGGGGTCTGCATGCAGGGGGGCTCATTAGCATCAGGATACCCCTTTAAATAAGGGGGCACCCTGATGCTGCCCCCTCTTGTGAATGAGTAAGTTGTACTTGTACCCTTACCCATTCACTAATGGGTTAAATTCAGTAACAAATAAAGAGACCAGTCTTTTGAAAAATTCCTTTAATTTAACAATTTTTTTTTGGGGGGGAGAGTACTTTGGTCAATAATGGCTATCAGAGTGCATTGTGCTGTGATTGGCCAAATCATTGCACCTACCGGTGGTCAGGTGGATTGTTTTGGCCAATCATGGCTCTCACAATGCACTGTGAGAGCACAGCGCATGTTTGACTCGAACATCGAGCCCAACGCTAGTCCCCAGCCATGAACCTGTGGACTGTTCCAGTCTACTTGATCTTGTGCTGCTATTAGAGAGAAATCAAAATACAATACAATAGACGTCACAATACAATACAAATGATTTACAATTAAACATACAAGAGTTTTTGTAACTTTAGTAACGGCTTCACTTTCGATATGAGACTAGCATGCAAAAAGAAAAATGGACAATCATTCGTCCGATATTCTCCCCGTGTGTACGGGGTTTAAGTGACTTAATCAGCAATCTCAATTACAATGAAATTATTAATTTGTTTAACACTGTGTACCATGTGCATGATGACATTTGAACAGATCACGAGATTTAGCTTTCTTTTGTAGATAATAGCAGCTAAATCCTTTGATTCATGTAGGATTATGTGAGTTTGCTCAGGAAAAGTAAATGTCACATATACCAGGCTGAGTCGCTTCTGAATCAAGGCACAGTTAATGTAAAGGGTGACCAAAATGTAACAGATGGTTTGATAGATTCTGTACCCTTCTCTTTCAAGTCTCAGGTCTCTTCATATAGCAACTATTTCTTTAATTGAATGGATTATTGGCAGCCCAGTGGTTGCTACAACTGGCCCAAATCCACCTTTGATTTGATGACCCAGTATGATGCCTTCATTTAGGACTGTCCAAGGGAGGCCCAATGAACATGCCAGGTTAAAAATTCTCTGTACCATTTTTTCCTTCAGCTCACTGAGAAAAGGAAAGGAAGTACCTTGAGGGTACAACTCAACACCCAATACATTTTAGCAGTTTCTGTTGCTTCCAATGGTGGGCAATTGTCACCCAGAGGACACAAGACACAGAGACCTGGTCATCCTCAAAAAACTGGATTCCAACTCTATTTACTCTGCAACTTGGCCAGTTATGTCTCCACCAGGGGCGGACTGAGAACTCATGGGGCCCCCGGGCAATAGGGGATCATGGGGCCCCTGTGTCCTTGCCCAAGCTCAAAAAAGACTATGAAAAAGGTACCAGGGGCATCTCATGGGGCCCCCTACTGACCCCAGGCCCTCGGGCAGTGGCCGAGTTTCCAAATGGTCAGTCCGCCCCTGGTCTCCACAGTGATACATTTTCATCCCTTCTGTTGATGAGCAGAGGAAATGATGGACACCATTACAAAGATATTTTCCAACAAGTAGGAACATTTTTATTAGCAATAATAACCACTTGTGAATGTTTGGTTATTCTTGTTAGCTTTCTCCAGGGTAGCCCACAACTGCCCTATCATTGTTTAAGGATCATATTGTTCTGTTTATCTGGGGGGAATCAGGCCCTTTAAGGTCAACTCTACATTAATTACATATTTGTGCTAGATGCTAGCATATATATACGGTGTGAGTGGTGCACACTGCCACCTTACTGAGTGAATTGCTCATTGAGTACAGCAATTTAGTAGTATATACAAATGTATAATGATTTTATATACATTTTGTTAAAATAGGTAAATATACTGTATAATCTTTCATATGAATATTTTGTGTTTTATCTGCATCTGGAAGGTGAATCTAGCATTCTTTGAATGTGTTTCTTGAGATCTGTTTAGTTCTGTTGTAAATAAAAACTGTTTATAGAGCTCAATAGCTGAAGATGAAATTTACACACAATGTAAAGGTTCAGAGCAGAGACCCCCCCAAATTGACTACAGTTAAAATTTTAAAGGCAACTACAGACAGTCCCCAAGTTACAAACATACGACTTACATACGACTTGTACTTAAAGTGGAGTTCCACTCACTCTGTAAGAAAATAAAAGTCAGCAGCTACAAAAACTGTAACTGCTGACTTTTAAAAAACAGCCACTCACCTGTCCCACGATCCAGCGTTGCCCGTTTCACAGGCCGTCCTGCATTCCAGGTGCCGGCATCTTCAATGTGGGCACCCGGCTGTGACAGCTTGC